ATAAATAATAAATAAGCTCCATAACAGTAAAACAACAAATCAACTTGTGGCCCTTGTAAACAATTACCAAACACTTGGAGAACTACCTAATGTTAAAAAGAAAACCTGAATATAAAAGAACATACAAAAATACAAAAGTAAAGTATACGTCAGCTGTAACTTGCATTCTGACTGTCCAGGAGAAAAATAGGGAGCAATTGGTAAGCCTGCACAAAGCAACATGTTTCATGCTTGCTAACATTAAGAACAGTTTCAGAATTGATACAGTAAAAGAGGTTATTGCTCATCCTGGTGGTAAGTAGGTATAATAAACGGTTTCATTGCTTGTCTCACTATGCAGTCACTTGAGATGTTGATCATGACGTATCGACTGCTTACTGCTAGAGGAGTCAAGGAAGTTATCCACGGAGGGCTTCACCCTAATAACATCAACAAGAATAACGGAATCAAAATTCCTGAAGCAAGGATACCAATGATCAAGAAACACAACGAGAGACTGGTACAACAGCAAACCGCTGGGGAAACAACTTGGAATCAGACCTCTCAGAAAACTAGAACTCACTGGAACAATGGGGATCGAAATACGCCATTCGCATTTGATTGCAGTGAGACAAATGGTAATGCGTGAGCAGTCGAACCCATCGCCTGATGACAACTAGCATTAGGCAGTCAAAACATAGCAATCTACATCTCAAGTGACTATATCGTGAGACAAACGATTTAACGGTTTATCACTAATATCAGATTTCAATCAAATGGTCACATAAACACAAATATAGATCAGGCAAAAGTGAATAATAAATAAAAATTTAAAAAACCCATGTTAAGCGAAATGATTTTGTACACGTGCATATATAAACAACCTTCCTATTGATTGGGATTTTGCTGCAAAGGACATTCATCATTTTAGAAATTCTTAATATATACCATAGGTCAGTCACCAATAGTATACCCTGAGTCAAACAGCTTCTGAATGATATCCATTCCCACAAGAAGATCAGTACCCTCAGCTACTGCATCAATCAATGCACTCACTTTAAAAGGGCACCCTCGAATTATGAGATTAATTTCTACTGTTTCAAACTGGCCCAACCCTCTTCCTGCTAATTTAACTTTCATTTTCTTGCTGGGAACAGGTTGCAGGTTCAACTCCAACAGAAGCTCTCTGGATATGCTGGTAGCTACTTCATTGCCAGTGTCAAACAAGACACGGCAATGTCCTGGAACTGGAATCACCTTGCCACACGCATTCTGTATCTGTACTGGTTCTTCATCCCTTGATATGATGAAGGCTTTATACCCTGGAAAACAGTACAAGAAAAAATGTGTATTTTGTGGGGATACTAATTTTTCACAAATAGTTCTAAAATTGGACTTACTGAAAATTTGTGACTGATAGAGTATTCAACTAATACAGGGTTAAAGCAGAGGCAAAAGCAGAGACAATAGAAATCTAACAAACAAATAGAAAGATGAAAACTTTGGCCCATTGTGCTAGTCTTGGAGAGAAAAAAATTGTAAGACTGTAATATGTTCATGCAAAGAATGTTCACAATTTTTGTGATTTTTTTCATCATT